GGTTATAGTATAGAGGTACAGAAGGATTTTCATGACATTCACCCCAGCGAAGTCAATACCACGTCATTTGATACGTTGGAATTTTTGCGACCGTTATGATTGACTTTAAATCTTACCCATATAGATTGAAAATGTATTTGATGCACTACTAAAAAAAAAGGCACAAACATTTAATGCACCCTTACAATAAAAAAGTTTTATAAAGAAACTTACGATATGATTCGTAATGAATGAAAATATATATCACTATCTGAGACTGCCTAATATATATCTGAAAAATATCTGACTGGCTGGCCGGAGTGTATCAAGTTGAAGGTATACTCTTGATACTAAATGAAAAGATATTTCAGCAGGTTCCAATGTACGCGCAAAGGGCATGTATCAGAGTGTATTAAAGTGTTGGGGGTTTCGGAAATGTTACAAAAAAGGCCTTTAATTTCGACCGGTACTTTGCTATCCGGATTAGCACTACCGTGTTCAGCTCGACGATGATTGGGTTAGGGCTCAAGATCGCTCTATGGTGATTGGCTAAAGGGCGTGAGATACTAGTCCAGCTCTCTGTATAAGGTGTCCGGTGTGTCGAAATATGGGCGACATCTTAAATTATTTACACATTTCTGAATATTGTGCCCTGCTTTATCCTGTGGACGTGACTAGTCAATTTAAAGGACAGTACCTCCCCTCCCCATTCTCTCCCTGGATCCACCACTAACAAGAAAGAAATGGCGTGACAAGTAAATAAGCGCCTCAAACGTAATTTTTGGGAAATATGCATTTCTCCTTGCCATGTCTTGCTTGCGCTCTGACGGGAGATGAAGAAATGGTATCATGACTTTTATTTGTATTAATGTGTATTTCCTTTACTCCTTTTGAGATTGCGAGTGAAAGGTACATCTGAATTCTCTTTTGGTCTTTTTCCTTACAAGTACGTCTCGTGCCGACGAGTCATATGGAAATCATTAATTTTGCTTTCTGCTTTTAGAGATATAGAAAAAAAAACTAACATAAAGATCTCTTTAGTTGTTACTTCTTCGTTTCATATAGTATGTTCTACTACATTCGTATCTGTGTTCATGAACGTACTCACATCACTTATTTCCTTTACTCCAAGAGGTTTTGTACTTCAAGCTGAGTTCCTCGTAACAGAAATATTCTTGTTACGTATTGTGTAAAATCTTCTTATTGTACAGCCCTAGTCCCTCCATATTTTTTCACAAAGGCACTGCAATTTCAGCCACTGAAGTTGGCATATGTATCATAATTCTCTATGTAGTTCAGAGCAGCTTGGTACAGCGAGTCAAACTGAACCTGAAATAAAATACATTGTACTGTTACGTTATACGAAGAAAACAATATTACGATTGGTGAAGGTGATTTTTTTTTATAATAATACACTGTAAAATTAATGGTTATAGTAACAATACTAGTTTTAAAATTTGCTGGCACAAATATGACAATTCACCATCATCATTATTATTAGATTTTACTATCATCATCATTATTGGAATACTAATACCCTTATCATCGTTACATCATTATCATAATAATAATTCTAAAGATATCAATAATCAAATTTGTGAACTATATGAAACTGATATTAACGATGATAAACTTCTAAAGCAATAATCATGACTGTGATGATGATGGTAATAATAATAACAATAATAATAATAATAATAATAATAATAATAATAACAATAACAACAATAATAATGATAATAATAACAACAATAATGATAAAATAATAATAACAATATTAATAATGATAGTGTAATAATAATAATGATAAAACAGTAATGGCAATAATAATAATATTGATGAAATAATAGTAACAATAATAACACATCAATTTTATTATCACTATTATTATCAGCAATATGGTTGTTATTATCTTCAGTAACAACAATAACAATGATAATGACAATAATAACAATAATAATAATGATAAAATAATAATAATAATGATATAATAGTAATGAAAACAATAATAACATTTATTAAATAATAACAATAATAATAATACATCATTTATATTATCACTATTATCTTTATAATTATTATCACTTTTACCATTGTCATCATTGATATTCTGCTCCTTCATCATCATCATTATCAACATCACTACCATTATTAATGTCATAATTATCATTATCATCATCATCACAGTCACGATTATAGTAACCTACAAGCTTGGGAGAAAATAATTAACTAAGTATCAGCCTACACGATATACACTTACATAACACTAACTTGATGGGTGGCATTAATCACATCATATCAACATGAGTTTCCCTAATTCCAGTGATGGGCACAGGCTTTCAGAAGGGAAGCTAAAAGGGACTAAAAGAGCATTTTTCTCTCCCAGATGTTGACGAGATTTTTGCTGCCCTAATCTTGCCCAAAGAGGTCTCTTCCATAAATTTGCCTAAAAAGTCTTTCCTTCCCCTCATTTTGCCCGGAGAGACTTCCCTTTCCTTAATTTTGCCTAGAGAGAGACTTTCCTCTCTCTTATTTTGCTTAAAGAGACTTTCCTTTCCTAAATTTGACTAAAAGGCCACTTTTCTTTTCCTTTGATCAAAATGACACTTTCCATTCCCTGCACACGGGCCCACAAAGCCCCCACCCCCTTACCCCCCACTGCACCTCCTTCTTACTCCCTGTTTACTTGATACTAGCATGGATACCAAGTGCTTACCTTATATCAGCCTTAGTGATTAATACTTGCCTACTACTAACATGCAAAGCAAGCAAATAAATAACTGAAAAAGCAAGTAGATGAATATATATATATATATATATATATATATATATATATATATATATATATATATATATATATATATATAAATGTATGTACAACTAAAGGAAATGGCTTACCACCGAAGTGAAGAACTGAGGCCGGCAGCGAAGGAGTCTCACTACAGTGCGGTAAACATCAACTTCCTGGTACGTTTGAAGGCGTTCCACTGTCAGAATAACACCAGCCATCAGCCCGCACGCGGTGACGCCATCCCTATACAATGGGGGATCTTAATAACCAAAGTCCATGATTTTAGACTCTAACAAGGGGGTTCAGTGAACAATTTAAGACTAATGCTTAGGTCAACAACAGACGAGAAATGTAAATGAAATGATAAAATAGGTCAAGAGAAAGTCATTATAATAACAGCCTTTTGGATGAACAGAAAGTTAACAATATGGGGGAAACTGCCCACATGCCATAGGATGACTATGAACCAGTGCCATTTCTTGGATGAATTTGACTAATATCCTTGAACTGAAATTGACATGTGACTGTTGTACACCAATAACCGTCTCAACATCCAACAAAAAATGTGAAAGAATATGAATTAAACAACTCATTAGAAATGTATTCACACAGGAAATGACCCAGTCAGATAACATGAGTTATGTGAGTTACGTACGCACAACACAGCAACATTGGACTGTCATTAGTGGGTCCAGAGAGCACTAAGTCTGCTACAGTGAGGAGGGCTTCGGGGTTATTTGGCACAGCACTAGTACAAGGCCAGTCTCGCACCTGGTACACTACAACTTTGTGTTCTGTATTCTGTAGAATAACAACAGTTCACAGTCTCACCAATGAACAGCGTTCATTGGGATAAATGCATACAAAAGAATGAACGAGTCTTGCGCTTTGAAGATATCATTTCTTATTCATTGTTCTATATATCAATAGTAATAATATCAGTCTGGAAATTTTGTAACTTAAAACCTATAATATTCTGTCAAAAAATAAAATGCAAGAATATTGTGAAAATCTTGGCTTTGTTTGCATCACCCAGTGGTCTTCATTTTCATTAACAATTATTTTCATAAATAATGAAAATCACATACATTATAGCCATCAAAAGTTTATATCATAGCTGAAAATTTCTAGCGTAACTAGAAACTTCTCTGCGTTCACTAAGAGCCATCATGTAAATACCTTTTCCGTTGTTATACTCATAGAATACTGGACAACCGCCTCATACTCCTGGAAATGTTGAGTTTGGATGCTGTATGAGCCTATCGTAAAGTAGGAATAATCCTCCGGTATCAGAGCTGGAAACTCTTTCTGTGGACATTCGTACTTGTGCTCAGTTTTTAACAAGAGGTATTTAGAATAAATTATTTGGCAGAATGATGATACATACTTGTATGTTAACAGTATTAAGCTCACATACAATACTTATTCATAAAGAAATAACATTACCTGTTCAGATACATCATAGGAGTTGAGAAGGATAACGGAAAGACAGTTTTTCTCTATTACAAGATGCCAAAATTTCAGCACTGAACTTTGCAGAGGATGCTCAGTCACAATAAGAGTGTCTGGCTTATCGAGCCCGTTTATCCGCACGGCATTTATGTACTGAGACGAGATCTGACCATCGCCAGTGTTCAGGAAAATGCTACGACTGTCTGCTGGAAGTATGTCTTGGGATCGATTCAGGTGCGCCACGCTGGCCTGAGAGCCAATGCGGAAGGTCAGGCCGGTTGGTAGTTTCTTTGCTCTTGTGTAAAGAGTGTGGCTGTCTTGCAAAAGGCTTGGTAATGCTGCAGCTAGCATAGCCGGAGTAGTCACTGTCTGTGCGCCATAGAGGATTTCATCAAAAACCTCGAGACCGAAGTTATACTGGGCTTGATTCTCCACCAGTCGTGCACGACACTCGCGCAGGCGTCTCAGGATCTGCACGGGATCAACGTCACCGTCGATGGTCAGCATCTCGTGCATCAGCAACACTAAGAGCACAGTGCCAGTTCGGCCAATGCCAGCAGAGCAGTGTACCACAGCGCCACCTGGCATGGAGGATGATTGCTTTACACAGAAGCTACAGAAATTAATAATATTAACTAATGATGCATGGCATTTTACATGATATGTTACTAGAGCTATTGTCCAGTATTTTGCAGAATTACCTTGCTTGTGTGTGTTGAGGATGTCCCTCATCATGACAGCCAGTGTTTGGGCTTCACTGGGCACCCCATGGTCGGGCCACCTGGTGTAGTGGTAGTGCGTGACGGTATGGCAAATATCACCCTTCCAGACCTACAGAAGGAAGGGAAAGAGAACAGAAAGAGATTACTGCAAGTACGGTTCTACTGTGGTATGGTTCCTCTGATTTTTTACTTAGAGAAATATTCTGAAGAGATGTCCAGATTCCTGTCAAAAAATAATGTAATCACAAAGCTGTTTGACTGTATCCCAATGTTAAGAGTATAAATTCAATGGGGCAAAAATGATGAAAAAAAGCTATATTATACATATTTTTTGTTAAAATACACAATACTGTAAGATATGTGCATTCCATTTTTGTTTTTTACTATATATAGCTCAATTTCTCTGCTGACCTATTACTCTAACAGCAAAGCCAATTTCCTTATATTGCTATGAATTCACCGACTTCATCTTAAACTATGAATATTCTACCACTCATCTACTATTCTATTAAACAGTATACCAAACAGCCTCCTCCCTATCGCTCCACCTTCCCCACACTAACCCACCCGACCGCTCCCCCAAACTGAGTGTATGTTAACCTGTATTTTCTCGCTTTGTAATCGACAGAACCGTCCCTACATCATTACCATAAGGGGACATACTGCCAGAGGCATATTTTCACTTTCCCAGCTTGAGGCACTGAACTTTTGTTTTAAAAAATGGTGCCTTCTGTATGTATTTGCATTAGATATACACATGTATGCACTACCTGGGAAGCATAACAAAAATGTAAAACAACAGACCTACCTGTATAGTAGATACAATGTAGTGTGGGTGCTGTTCGCTTTTGATGGCAGACACGACATAGCCGTCAAACTCCAGAGTAGCTCCACGCTGAAAGTACTCCCCGACCTTGACCTATGGACACATGGAGTGGCAAAGGCATTATTCAATGAATTTTGGATTCTTTTCCAGGCGGGAGGGGGGGGGGGGGGGCTTCCATATATCATGTGATCAGAATGTGCCATTCTACTGTATTTTTTGGGCTGCATTTGAATTTTTATGTCGGAATTTCCATTCTCCAGATATTATGAGATGTTATGTCCTCTCCAGTCAATTATCAGATTTTTGCATGCACGACTTTTTGGGCTTATATTTCATGGCCTTCCTCAAATTCAACATTTAGTAAAACACATACATAATTCTACTTCAAAAAGGCAAGTAATGTCACCCATGTTAGTTGGGTTTGGTAGGTTGAGATTCACGGTGAGGATTCAGGTATGAAAAAAAGAATGTCTGATGGGAGTGAACATACCCTTCCCCCCTCGATGAAATTGGCAACCATAATGATGATGTCCATCTTCTGTTCGTAAATCATACGCCAGAAGTCGCCAATGGTGCTGACGTTTGCATCCTTGGGTCCTTGGGATGCAATGTACCTCAAGTAGCCACCAAAGCCCTGGAGAGAGAGGGACGCGGTTCAAGAAATAATGAGATCGAAACCGCTTGTGTGTGTGTGTGTGTGTTTGTGTGTGTGTATGTGTGTGTGTTTGTGTGTGTGTGTGTGTGTGTGTGTGTGTGTGTGTGTGTGTGTGTGTGTGTGTGTGTGTGTGTGTGTGTGTGTGTGTGTGTGTGTGTGTGTTTAACGTCTGAACTTGCAAAAGCAGTGAATTAAACTAAGGCGTTGTGCACATTACACACACTGGTCATAGAAGACACAATTATAAGAACACTTATTTGACTAATTTCCGTCTTGATCTTGTACTACGGAGGATGTATATCTTAAGACTGCTTTTAATGAAAAATGAAAGAAGCATTTCGTATAAAACTCAATGTGTTATCACAGAATGTATCTTTTAAATATTTAATAGCCTTTGCATTAAGATATTTGTTTAAGATGATGCGTCCTAACGCATCATTTTAAACAAACATGTGTGATTCAGGGATTCAGTTTGTTTAATGGCGTCATGTTTGTTAATATAAGAGTAATGGTATTCTGCTAACGTGATGGATCGGACCATTTGTCTGTCGAATGTCCAAACGCAAAACTTGACCCAGAAAGTGCTAGTGTGATGGCGAATTGACTGAGAACTTGTTCGAAAGTTTCTCTTACTGAGATGGGACTTACATAAATATGGTTGGCATTAATGTAGTCACTGAAGGGATCATTGTTGATGACTGACAATTTCACTCGGGTTTCATCAACTGCAAGCAAAAAAAAAAGTTTTGTTTATTTAATAAAACACAAATAATCACATAAACATATGGAGTGTATATGTATATATATATATATATATATATATATATATATATATATATATATATATATATATATATATATATATATATATATACATACATATATATATATATATATATATATATATATATATATATATATATATATATATATATATATAAACAAATAAATATATATATATATATATATATATATATATATATATATATATATATATATATATATACATACATATACACACACACACACACACACACACACACACACACACACACACACACACACACACACACAT